GTTGTCAGTATAATTATGTAAATGACAGATTTATTTATGTTATAAAGCAGAAAAAAAACGATTATTTACATAATAGTTGGGGAAAGGAATGTGTTGTTAACGGTCACAGCATTGCGCTTTAAATATAGATTACCATTATCGATTGTAACTAATAAAATTTGTTTAGGCCTCAGCAGAACTGTTTTGAAAGAAAGCTGGCTCTGTGAGAGATTGGCGATGTCAAATTTTACCCTCAGTCCTAAATATTTTTACTACCCATAATGCATTGTGAGAACGACGAATGCGGCTTGTCGAGACCGAGGTAGGTCATTATCGCATTTATCAGTGCGAGACTTGTACGGGAAGTCGGCATTCTTCCTCGCAAATTCTGCATCTTTTCTCTGGAGTATTCATAGGTAAGTACCAAATCCTGTAGATTGTGTCAGTATTGACACTTTTCATTCAACATTGTCTACAAAGTCACGTTAGCTTGCCGATAATTATAGCCGACATCGTCAACAGCCATTTGACACCTTTGTTTTGTAGTCGTCGGCCATTTTGCCCGTAAAACAGCGGCGTTGACAAAGAGACGCGTAACTTTCGCGTCAGACGTTTATTTCTGCGCGAACTGTCGTACAGTTGATTAGAATAATAAAATTTACGTTTTAAACCAAGATGGAAAGATTATACAGTTTGTATGAGTGCTTGGGCGATTAAGTCGTCTGGGAGACTAGGCCCGGTAACATGTATAATAAACTTTAGTCATTGCGTGCATGTGCATTCGCGCCACTACCGCCCAAGGTCATTTAGAGGTGACTGCTTGTCGCACCGTTAATTGTACTGAATTGTTACCTTTTATTAACTTTTATATGTTCAATTTAAACTTATCTTCATATAAGAATCATGATTTTTTTTTAAATGTATGAAAAAATTTAAAAAATGAACAAGTGAAAGTTTCATTTCAATATCCTATTGGTTGGCTGAGTTTAATTTTATAGATCATCCCACTAAATTTTCAAAAATGTTGGTTCTTGCATTATGTTGGCGTGCATTTTAATTTCAATGCATAATTTTATATAATATAATTATTATATGTGTATATATTTGATCGTCGATAGTATCGTATATCATGCATTCAGACACATTTATAAAGTGAGCGATGACCTATGCAGCCATTGTGATATCCATTGCTAAACTATTTAGTGTTCAAGGTCAGCCATAGTAATTTCAATTCCAATTGTATGTCACTGATAATCAAATTTTAAATCAAAAAAATCAACATCTGGCTTTTGAATATTTTGCTCATTTGCATTTTATATATGTCTGGGAATTTGTTTTAATTTTTTTAATTGTAACTTTTATAATAAGTCCTTATCCTTGTGTAAATGTCATTAAAATCTAAAATGCTCGGGGAGTTCTATATTCATAAGGATTTTCTCTGGTGAGTTTAATTGAAGTTGACCAAATTTTGTGTGATTACAAAACAACAAAATAATTTGGAATTAACCCATTTATCCATCATACATTTTGGTCATTTGTTAATCTTCACTCTAGCAAATGTTAATTTCAGATTCAATGACTTCTGGGTCAGTAATCTGAATAATACTAGCTGACAGATTCATGGTTTATTTATTTGTTTTAGTGAATACTAAATATTTCATTTTGTCAACACACGATCATTTTGATGGAAGCGTTATTGTAACAACATTTAGTACTGATTGGTATACTTGTAATGTGCTTTTAATTTTGGCGTTATTTCTTTTCTGCTAGTCTAAATAGCTATGGGTAGTTGATTAAACTAGGCATTGCCATTGGTTTGAATAAGTTTCGTTGAAAATCATTGAATTACAAGTGAACCAAAAAGATTTCCGCCACTACAAATTTACAGATTTTCACGAAAAATGTTTATTTGAAATTCAAACACCACTGTGATTCAAATGTGCAATTTCAGTACTCTGTGTGTTTGCACACCCAATAAAAAAAATAAACATAACTGCCAAGTCCTGGGCCAAAATATGTTGGAATGTCAGGCTACAAATATTTGTTAATTGTTCATTTGAGAGTGTCTGTGAGCTACATGCCATTTTAGCGAATTTGACTCCATGCATGAATTAACTGAATCTTAAATTAGCTTACTATGAGAATACTTTATTTTCGCTTGGAATTTATTTTTGCTATTTTTGCTGATGGAAGGATTCCGTGAAAATAAAATCCAGCGAATATACTTTTTTTCCTATATTTCACATTAAACTCATCAAAAATCAGTGAAAATAAATTCCACACAAAATGCCTTATCAGCTAAAATAACTTCCAGCGAAAATAAACTATTCCACAGTATACTCTATTCTAATTAGCGACGTCTTAATTTAGCAAAATTGCAGATTAGCTAAATTAGCTAAAATAACATACGAGCTAAAAAAGACATTTTTTACACTATTTCATGAAAAGGCTGTGACACGCCTTGTTTTACATACATGTACCATACAATAGGTGATTTTCCGTACAACTGCGAGATCTCGCGAGATGCATGAAAGACGCGCGTCAAACGTCTGCCGCAAAAATAAAACGATTTGATTTTAAACTCGAATTTCTTTATTTCGTAGCTCACATCGACCGGCCGATCTTTGACAGAGGAATATTGCATTCGAATATCCTCACTTAATCGAAATTGCCCATCATCAAATGTGTACAGCACATTATTGACATGGAATTGTCCCCCAAAATACTTTCGCGTTTGTCGAATCTCATGCGATGTTTGACGCCACTACGACGCTATGACCTTTGTTTGTCCTGTTTTCACGTTCGATTTCACGCATAACGCGTGATTCTTGCAGTGAACGGAAAATGGTCTATTATCACTCGCTGAATATCGAAATTCATGAATTAATGGCGATGTATAGTAGCTCGACAATTTTAAACACTGATTTTAAGATAAATAATGACCATCGCAGTTCAAAATACTGTTTTGATAGGAATATTATTCCCTAACGAGGACATTGCATTCCTTATAATAAGATCTGTTAAAGGGGCACCTTCCAGTTAAGATTAATTTCACAACAAATTTACTTTCTGGATTAAAATAACAATGGATAACAAAAGATAGATTAACATTGTAAACAACATAAACAATAGTGTCCCATGATTTGTTTGTGCAATCCATGGGATTGAGCGGTTCCCCTTTAACGCTCAAAAAATCACGCTGTAGGTGCATAGCGTCCTTACCTTGTGACCCAAACTAAAAACTATTAAGACTATGTTTAATGCAGTGCAAAATCATATTTATAAATAAATCTGTTTGGCTTTGTGTCAAAAAACGCAGTTAAAACATGTTCTTTTACAAAGTTTGTTATTCAAAATTATTTGTATAGACGGCTTCCTCTAATTGTGGAGAACAATGGATGTCAATGACAGAAGGCTTTGAAATATGTTCATGTGTGTCATTTCTGACCAATAGCATGACAGCATCTACAAATCCTGATAAGCTAAAATATGCACTAATAAATATCCAGAAAATGTGGCCTTAGAAAATATAACGGGAAAAAGAGTTGTATATCATTTAAAAATAAAAAATTTTGCGAAACGTATTCAGACCAGCATGTGTTGTTTTTGGCTTGCAACATGGTATTTTAAATGAGAAAACATTAGATTGTGGAAAGATGTTATTTTTGCATGAAGTAATTAAAACTATGGTTGCCTTAGTACTTGAGGTATTTCATGAAAAATATTTCACCAAACCATTAACATTTTAACTGTAAACATTTATTGTCAAATTGTAGTATTCATTATTCTACAGTCAAGAACTGTGAACCCTGGACTTAATTGTCGCCATATTCCAAATTTTTCCTCCATAGATCACCAGAAAAAAAATACCCAAATTGCACAAAAATTAAAACTGTTGCGTGTACATGATATATGGAAAGCAGTACCAACACAGATTATCTCAATGTTTTAGATTTGCATAATTCTTTTTATAATCTAGTTTTGTATTCCAGGTGTTACTCTTGCATTCTGGTTTGATCCGGTTTGATCCTGTATTAATATGCAAATTTTAATTCACTGCATGGGGCCACCTATAGTGTGTCTGGTTTTCATAGCTTTTCAACTGTAAATACTGTGCTTCAAACAAACAACTGCCCTTCATGTAAAATACTTTATTTTAGCTGGAATTAATTTTTGCCACAAAAGATATTTTGCCTGTTTTGTATGAAGTTTATTTTCTATGATTGTAAAATTTGTATGTACTTACCAGTAAATGTATTTTTACAGGATTTTATTTCATGCCTTCAGCGAAAATAGCAAAAATAAATTCCAGGTATAAATAATGTAGACGATTGTAGATTAGCATCTGGTTAGGATCTTGTATTTCCATACTTGATTTCCACAAAAATAAGACATAATATCCCTTTCAATCAGTCACATGTGAATTCAAAATGTCATTTGCACTCTTTTCAAAGGGGGTGCTCGGGTGCTCCCCCCAAAAAATCTTGATTTTCTGAGTTGAGGACACTGGGCGCTAATGCGGTGAAAGGAATGTTACATATTCAGTCCTATTTATAAACATATGGGCTATGTTACTACTGCTATGTTGAAATTGTGGTACAATACATGTTCTTTTTGGTGAAAACTGACAGAAATAAATAAATTAAAAATAAATTCATCCTCTTTTTTTTTTTAGCTCCATGATTCGTCTGACACTTTGAATTATTTAAATTCCAGTCTTGTTTACCTTGGGTAATTATCATTGTTGATAATCCTGTAAATAAATGATAGTTGCATCTTAGTTGATTTTAGACTTACAGAACCGCCCCCGCCCCCCTCCTACAACAACCATGCAAGACAATAGTGGCCCCTGGGACTGCATGCAGATGATGTTGTGCCTTTGCCAGAAAACTTTATATTTAATTAAAATCTTATTGTATATAATATTTATTGTAGGCCTAATTTAAAATTATTACTTGTGTACATAACAAGATTCCCTGGAAAAAAACAAACATCTATTCTTTGTTTTCTGTTTATCCTCGGGGGCGGAGCTACGTCACAGAACGTTCTACGTTGCTAAGACGCGCACCACTGTACCACGTATTTCTATGGGCTCTGTGTGAGCTGCTGTGGAACGCTGGTCTAGTCGGTGAAAATTCGAGAAAACAACACAAACTCAAGTTTGAAGTAACCCTGAACAACCAAATTTATATATGTTGGACATGTAGGGCTAATCTTGTTACACTGTTCAGGGCAGTCTCAACAACTATGCAAAAGTAGCATTTTCTGAGTTTTCAGTCTTTGTTTTCACAGTGTGGGTTGCCAGGCAATGAAAATGTCCTAATGTTTGCCCCAGAGAATAAGCAGGCTTATTAAATTTTATTCCTAAAAGTGAAATATAATCACTATTATTCATCCAGTTTGGAGCTATGCAGTG